TCTTTTGATCATGGAAACCCAAAATTTAATCAGAAAATCTGAAATAAAAAAAAGGAGACGACAATAAAAAAAGGATTTTTAAACAGAAATGTTGGTGTGCTAAAAGTATGTTTGTGAAAGTACACTTAGTACTTGGTCGGTTTCCGTTTTGCATGATATACTGCATCAGATCAAGGTGGCATGAAAGAGGTCAGCCTGGGTCAGTCAGCTGCGGAGGTAACGTAACAAATGTCTGCATTGTTGGATCTGGTGTCCCTCGTATTATTATTAGTATTACAGCTCTGCAACACTGGGAAAATGTATAATTTGACTGTTGAATATTTGGATGAAAATATCAACTAGGAGTGTATGATTTCTTGTAAACATGTAATTTGTCATTTTCCTGACACTACTTCCTTTTCAGTCATTACAGTGGTCAAGCAGTCTTGACCATGGTTGTGTGCACAACTATGCAGCCACAGTGTCAGCTGCAACCCATAAGCATCTAAATGAACAAACTCTTGTAAATGATTACGTTGTGTGTAATGCCTTTTTTAATAAAATAGGCATTTTGGATTGAAGTAATGAAATAAACTTATTTTTCAGTAATCATAACTAGCCTCACTTGTGACTGGATGTTAGTTGTAGCTGCCTTTTTAAAACCTTGAAGTGGCATTTACTCAAAATAATGAAACAAAATTAATTTGAAGATTTTTAAGTGTATGTTTTTCAATGTGAAAATTGATCTTTTGGAGAGAAGTGACATTTAGTTACATTTTCTGAGTGATTTTTAGAGGCTAAGGTACATTACGAGTATAAATCTGTTATCATATTGACCTTTATGTCTGATTTCATACAGGCTGACTCCATCTTAATCTGCACTTTGTCCTTGTTGGTTGGCCTGAAGCAACCAAACATTTGCCCTCCCTGAAGCGAGGATCAGATGGTTTGATACTGTAAATGTTGAAGTGTTTGAAAGATCAGATTGCTTTTACTATCTGCATCACTGTTTCTATTCAAGTTGAAGCTTTAGGACCGAGTTTTTTGATTACTCAGATAAACGAGTAATCAAGAATATTTCTAAATAGAACTTTAGTTGCTTGCAATTTTGCTTCCCATTTCTTACTCAATAAGTGTCATTTTTTTTAAAAGTCTAGATTAATGATTTAGAGCATTGCTATAGTTAGTGGACCTTGGTGTCATCAAAGGCTAAGTCAGATGTAGAGCAGGAGTCACGGGAGTTGAAAGCTGATTTTTGTGTTCAGTGTACTAATGTAGGTTAGACTGCACAGATGCAGAGTGAACGATGGAAGCTTATGAAAATTACAAAAGAGATGATTCCTGTTAACACACATCGAACCAGTGGCATCCTTTGGTAAATTTGTGAGGGTATTTATTTATTGGGTCAAGTACAGGACGCAGTATGTGTTGTAAAGTATCTGCTGCTCTGCAATAGTCCTTCTAGCCACTGGGGAATTTACTGACACGGTCCCTGCTTGGACTTTTCCTGGTAAAACCTACAACAAACTCTACTAGTAAGATGTTAATCCAGGGGTGGACAATCCTGGTCCTGGAGGGCCAGTGTCCTGCAGCTCATACAGTTAGGTTCTCCAGAGTCCTACTAACGACCTCATCATTTGACTTAGGTGTGTTGAAGTAGAGAGACATCTAAAGTTTGCAGGAGACCGGCCCTCGAGGCCTGGAGTTACCCACCCCTGGGTTAATCTAAAGCTCTACATTAAAAACAAAGATAAGAGACTAATTTGACTCTTTCAAGTTATTGATAAACGAAACATGAAGGGGTACTTTCAATAACTGCCCCAAATGGATAGAAGATATTATACATAAAAATAAAAAAAACACTAGAAAAGAAAGCCAAGCACTTCAGACTAGATGTGACTGCACATTTTGTTTCTGAACTAGGAAATATTAAACCCGTTTCCCGAAAAGATACACATTTACAAGAGTTCAACTGAGCAGCTGGTGTTTAACAGCTTTCCTCCTTTGACACAAAACGATGAATCTGGGCAAGAGATACTTTGCAGAATTGGATTTGAACATAATCACTTATTCTGTTGCAGTTCTGTAGTTTCCTGTCGTAATTCTAAAACAGCAGCGGTGCCAGTGCATTTAAATACAAACCTTTGGTAACAAAAAAGAAAAAAGAAAAAAAAAGACAATGAAGTTTGCAACATGATGTCTACACATTATACCAAATTGCAACCATCTCCCCAGTTTCGGAGTGTGCAATATTGTAATCACAAAGGACTGTTTGGGTGCAACATTATTGCAGCCTATAATAGTTCAGGTTCCAGTATTAGTTTGCCTCTTGGTTAGACTTTCAATGTCTTCATGCCCACAACTGATGGAGCTTTAATGATTGAGATGCCAAAGCTCAAGGAGAGTTGATGGAATGTGATGATGATGATGACGACAACAAGGAAGAAACTGAGCTGTGAAATGTCATTTAAGGACAGCTGAAATTTACTACATTTAGCAATTTCTTGTTTTGCTTTTGCCTTGCAACCTGATTTTCTTAAACAAAGATTTTCATAAGGAGTCTCTCTATAGATTTGGTTATTTATCATTGATTTGGCACTATAAGCTAAATGTAATATTAAAAAGAAGACATTCACATGTCTGTTATTTACAATCATAAAACGGTTCAGAATCAAAATCAGAAATCCTTTTCTTCCAACTTTTTCATTTCTTAGAGTGCAGTGCAGTAATTGTTGGCTGATAATATATTCCTAGTGTTATGAACTTGCATATTTCATGCTAATACTTTGCCAGTTACAGTCTGACTCCAGCAGATGTTCACAGTGGACACAAAGGACGTTGCTCAGAACGCTAGAAGTCAGAGTCATAAGCATACATGAGAACTAGAAAAAAGAAGAAAAAAGGCGCATATCTGATGCGCCTAATGGCAGTATTATCAATATTATTCCCATCTCAAGGTTTTCTAATCCAATGACCTGATATCTTGGTTACTTAAGAAGGATCAAAGTATGATGTCAGATTTTTCTTTTTGTTAGGTTTTTTTTTTTTATTCTTGCTTTGACCTCTTTATTATAAAGGTCCAGTCGGGATATTTGAACCATGCTGTGCTTCCTTGTGTACTTTCTCTCCTCCTCCACATGTTCTCTGTTGCAGTGCAATGCTGTCTCCTTGCAGTCCCTGCAGAATGCCGTCTTTGTGTCAGTCCGCTTCTCTCTACGGCTCCAGTCTGCTCCACTTTATTTCACTAAGTGCTTCTCTGGGCTGGATGGGAACCTGCAGTGCCACAAACTGAGGAAGTGTTCAGAGCTCATTTGTGTGCAGAGCAGATTACAGTAACCGACTTGTGCTTTAACCTTGCAGCAAGTCCAGGTTGATTATTGAATGTTAGATTTACTGTTTTTTCCCTGGTATAAGATTGTGGCCTTAATGTTTTTAAATATTCCCCTTAACCAGCTTCCAGAGTTATTGGTATTATAGTATGTAATTAATTATCTTATGATCTTTACTATTAGAAAATGGGAAAAAAAATCAATCAAACTGAAAGTTAAAGATTTTATTTCTTTGTCAGCAAGAAGTGGCAAAGTCTAAGAGAGGAAGTGTCTCTTAGACTTGTAAACAAACTGAAAGTGACAAGTCTTGATGGGGAATTATTTGAGATGCTTAACTCCCCAGGTAACTTGGGGCGGCTAAGTGATTGAGTGACTGAGATATTCGGATGAGTAATGTTTGAAATTTGTGGTTCAACCTGTCTTGATACATTTTTGACTGAGTTCAGGAAGTTTTATTCAAACCTTTAATCTGAAAGAGTTCCCCGATTGAAAAGAAGGAAGGGAGGTTGAAATGTTTTGCTTTCAAGAGACTTAATTTAAATTAACAGATTTACAGCTTGAAGAAAGAGCAGCTTTTCAATTGTGCTCATTTAAGTGCCTGAACGACTGCCACCAATATAAGCTAAAATATTGTGACACACAAGAGATGTGCAACCTGATTTATATTTAATTGGACGGTTATCCCTGAAAAATCAATGTGACAGACAGTAAATATAAAAATACTGTCCTGGTGACATACTTGCTTTGGGTCCCTTTTTTTTTTCCTTTTCCTGGCCCTTTGTGTATTTCACCACAAGGCTATTTTCAGTTTGACCTAGATGAGAAGTTCAGAGTGAAAAACAGTGTTCGGTGTAGCGCAGAAAGCAAGAGGAAAGCATCCTCTCTCCAGTTTGATGTAGTTTATTATTTTTCCTCGCAATCAAATGTTACATCTCGACTATAAAAAAAAAATTTGTATGCCTTAGTTTCGGTCTGGTTTACCTTCTGATTCTAACATTGACCTGTCATGACGAGGTGACTTTTGTTTGTATGTTTATCTTTCTCTTTTTGCTTTCTGAAGGGTTTAAAGACATGGAAGATGGCCCGATCATTCGCCGCAGTCAGAGGGCTCCTCTCGCTCGGCCAGAAGACCTGATGGACGGGTTAAACATCAGGACCAATGCCCCAGAGTCCTATCAGACCGACAGCATCAGTCCTTCACCAGATGAAGGGATTGAAGAGGAAAAGGTAATATTTTAACATGTTTTTTTTTTTCTTTTCTTTTAAGCTTCTAAAGGTCTTCAGTTTTTTTTCCTCCTATGAAAGTCAGATGTTTTTAAGGTAAAATTGTATCTGAAAGACAAAAAGATCATCATTGAAAAAAGGGAATTTAGAATTATAAATGTGTATGGCACAGCTGGTCGGCGGGGAGAGCTGTCTTAATCTTCATGAGCTCGTGTGGATGCCAGTAAAAGCTGTTTTTGAAACTCCTTTTAGCCTGTGGCGGAGGAGAGGCCGGGGCCCGTCCAGATCGTCCGAGCCAACGAGAGCGATGGCATCTTTCAGCTGGACGCCGCTGCGCTGGAGAAGATCCTGCTTCAGGATCATGTGAAGGACCTGAACTTGGTGGTCGTGTCTGTGGCTGGAGCGTTTCGGAAGGGCAAGTCCTTCCTGCTGGATTTCATGCTGCGCTACATGTACAATCAGGTACGGTTAACATTCGTTTAGGATTTTAAAATTACAAGGGCACATATGCTATGCCAGGCAGAAGGTCGCATGCACTCACTGTTGCATGAAAGTCGTTAATTTTGGAATTTTAGTGGTGCTTTGAACTCCTCTTTTTCAGAGAGGAACATGTATACAACCAATGTCTGATGTTTGTATTATTGTGCTGTAACCAGAGGTAGGTAGAGTACCCAAAAAATATACTGAAGTAAAAGTAAAAAATAACTGTCCAAAAAAATTACTCAAGTAAGACAAGTAAAAAAGTATTTGGTAAAACGTCTACTCCAGTATTGAGTAACTGATCAAATTATTTAATATTTAAAAATTACATAATCGGATGAACCGATGATGATGATTTTGGTATTTTAAGGAACAAAATTACAATTTAAATAAGTAACGATAAATAACAAAATTGGGCAAAATATTTTTTTTTCCCAAATCGGTTTCTTTCAATATAAAACTAATGAAACTTTAACCAAATCTGCAGTTGTGTGTCTTTGTCTGGTGATTTTTATTTTTTATTTTTTGTTAAAACATGTTTGTTTTTTATTCAGTAGGTAGAGAATCCAGAAATTTTACTCAAATAAGAGTGGCGATGCTTCATAATAAATTACTCATGTAAAAGTAAAAATACAGTAAAAATTCTCCTAAAAGTACATTTTTGTTTTTTTTTTCAAAAACGTTGCTTGAGTAAATGTAGCTAGTTAATACCTAACTGTGGTTGCAACACATAACTGGGTTCAAAACTGAACTATTTTCTTAACAAGACAAGTGCATCAATAAGGTTAATAAGAACAATCCCAATCCATCATTAAAAGCCACACATTAATATAAGTTCATAATGAGTGCATGTGAATTTTCTGTTGGCACAGTATATGTTGGGATTAACTCAATTCAGAATAGATTTTTATAAAATTGAAACATCCCAGTAATAACTCGCATAAGGAGGTGTTGGTGGAACTTGACAGTGTGGATCATAATTTTTTTTACTACCTTCTCAATAACCTGGGTAATTTCTTGGTTGATCTTTCTCTCTGCTGCATCTTTTTCATTTTAACACTCCTGCAAAAGAAAGAAATGCAGCAGAGCACTGGCTCTGTGTTGGACCCGATGGTGGAGACCTGCTTGTGAAAAGTCCACGTCTCAGAGTTTGAATGTGCCTTATTTAAATGCTGAACTCTTTCTTTTCTCAGAAGTATAAAAGGGAAACTTTGCAAAATGTCATGGTTTTGAATCATGTTTCTAAAAGGAAGTTTAAAGTTCTTAGTTTCCTTTGACACAATGATTGTTGCTATGGATGAGGATTTTCCTGTTGGATGGGACTGCAGCGGTGTTCCTTTGTTTGTGACAAACTACTTCACATTTTTGCTTTGTAGTGCAACAATACTTGAAATATGGCATTTTTTTGTAGAAGTGGATGACCATAATTTTTTATTACAACTATCTTTTCCCTAATGTTTTTATTGTTCGTTTTGCAGAGATCGGTCTCATCCAAAGTAAGTTTAAACCACTGTTTTTGGAATAACGCCTTCTCTTCTACGACACACTCTAAACAACTGCTGCTTGCTTTTATTTGTGATATTCTGGGTTGCACTGTCAAAAAGGAGCCTTAAGAGACATGGAGACATTACCCGCTGCTAATTAGGAGGATATTTACTGCTCACGCAATCCTTTGAGACCTCAAGACTCTGTCTCTAGAATGTTGTTAAAAAGTAAGCCTCCTGTAGCTTTTATAGGATTTGCTGCAGGGGGATAAACGCTACAATCCAACAACTTATTAGAGCATTTGAGAGTGCTGAAACATGAAATGTACTGCAGGTGTTGTGTGCCAAGTTCTGCTTAACTTGGGTCGTTTAAGCATTTCCTTTTTTGTCTCTTCCATGCTGTTTTTCCACCATCGTGCAGCACAGTGACACGTGGATAGGAGGAGACCATGAACCTCTGATTGGGTTCAAATGGAGGGGAGGCTGTGAGAGGGAGACCACAGGAATTCAGGTGTGGAGCGACGTGTTTGTGGTTGAAAAGCCTGATGGCAACAAGGTATGTTTTTTGTTTTTTTGTTTTTTTAATTCCCTGATGTAATTGGAAAATCTTAACCTCCTTATTTAGAGTGAATTTTTCCACACTGACTTGTATTTTGTAGGTCGCTGTACTCCTCGTCGACACTCAGGGAGCATTTGACAGCCAGTCCACCATAAAGGACTCTGCTACTGTGTTTGCTCTCAGCACCATGACCAGCTCTGTCCAGGTAACAGAAAACATGTCATTTGTAGGAATGTTTACGTTTTGTTTCTGCTAGAGACAAACGTGTGATTTAAAATTTGTCCTCCATTTGCTTGTCTTCAGGTGTACAACCTCTCCCATAACATCCAGGAAGACGATCTGCAGCATCTGCAGGTTTGTGTTCCTTCTTTTCTTCAAAAATTAAATGGTTATTTTGACTTTTTATTCTTATTTTCTGATTTTGTTTTTCATGAAGCTCTTCACTGAATATGGACGGCTGGCAATGGAAGAAACTGAATCGAAACCTTTCCAGGTGCTCACTGTTTGTCTGAATCCAGAATATACAAGCATTTAAAACTAATTAAACCAAATTATCACCATAAAACATGCCTATTACTTATATTTGTCAAATAAAAATATAATAGAAAATGGGTGCAAAATTTGCACGGCATAAAAATTACTAAAAAAAAATTTTTTATGACTCTCTTACTCTATAAAATGTTATTGGTGTTGCTGCTCAGTACTGGCCAGAATCAGATTTATGCTTGAAAATGCAGATTTTTAATGTCCAACCTGATGTAGTGGGTTTTACTAAAATAGGGGGAAAAAAACATAAATTCTTGTGTTTGGGGAAAAAGAAATCTCATCTCAACGATTCCTTATAGGTGCATCTTAGTACTTTAGAATCTCATTGAAAAGTTTTCAGTCCTTCAATTCAAAAACTGAAACTATTAGATTGATTACACTCACGGCATTTGATCGTAGTTAAGATGACTGACTGGACCTTTGTCCAGCAGAAGGTCATTGACATGGAGACTGAGCTGCAACATGTCCGTGTTATTGAAGCTGGCTGTTCAGCGTGCAGTGTCCAATCAAATTAAGCTGCTGGAACAACTTTTGCAAAATAAGTTGTGGCTGGAGTCACTGGTTCAAAGCCACCACAGACATACTGGCCTGTCTAAGACATATGGGCTAAAACTGTCACATTTCTTGAGTTAAAGACTCTCCTCAGCCAGAGACACTAGAAGTTGTTTTTATTTTTGACCCAGCGGGAGGAAAAATGACGAGACGTTTGTTCGAGGGAACAAAACTTTCTTTTTAAAACTACATTTAATCGAATTTTGGAGCATTACGTTGGTCCTGTTGCTTACAGGATGCCGTAAAGATGCTGATCTAATGTTTTTGATTCCAAAAATAAACATTTAAATTTTATATTATCTCTTGAGATGTACCTTTGTTTGTAGTTGCTGAATAGCAGGGAGGTGTCTGAACTTAGTCACTCTTTCTCCAGCAGCCTGTCCACTTTTTAACCCTGGTTTATTCCAGATGATTTCTACTCTTTAAACAATCCCCATCAAAATTCTTTGTGAGCGCGACATCGCGTAAAACCCTATAAATCTAACTTATGTGTATTCATTATGAACTCCCAAGATTTTCCTAACCATCTTTTTTTTTTTTTTTTTAAAGTCCTTAATGTTCCTGATTCGGGATTGGAGTTCTCCATATGAATATGATTATGGACTGAAGGGAGGACAGGCTTTTCTACAAAAAAGACTGCAGGTGAGATTTGTTGGAAATGTTTGCTTGTTCCTAAAATGCATGGAGACGCGTGGATTTGATCTGAATAAGAAAACTTCTCCAGACATTTCTCCATAATGCCTTTTTCTATGAGACTTAAGCAAATGTAAATCTGTGCATTTACCGACCATTTGCTCTGACAGGTTAAAAACTGCCAACACGAGGAGCTGCAGAATGTCAGGAAGCACATCGACTCCTGCTTCAGCAAGATCAGCTGCTTCCTGCTGCCACATCCAGGCCTCAAGGTGGCCACCAACCCAAAGTTTGATGGGAGGCTAAAAGGTGGGTCTGAAATGACTCTCGCTCGTACTTAGAATCCAGGTTTTAATATCCGTGTGATGCTTGGATGAAACGGTTTTGCGTGTGTTCGTCTCAGACATCGAAGATGATTTCAAGACGCAGCTGGCTGAGCTGATGCCTGTGCTGCTGGCCCCAGATCAGCTGGTGGAGAAGCAGATTGGTGGAAGCAAAATCACCTGCAAGGATCTGGTGGAGTACTTCAAGGTGCTGCAGCGATTTCTGAGTATCTTCAGTGTCTGTTGCTCTCAAATTGTACTAATAAGTACACAAATTACAAAATTTTATTGATTCTAAGAAATATGTCTGTTGCCACCAAAGGCTTCTCGCAGCGTTATGGATGGCACGTCCAGTTTGAAACTTCCTGCTTTGTTTCCTCAGCGCACCTGAAGATTTTTGTCCAATTATTGATTTAAAAGTTTTAAAATAACGTTTGATTTGCTTGTCGTTTTTTTTTTTTTCTGCAGGCCTACATAAAAATTTACGAAGGTGACGAGCTTCCTCATCCAAAGTCCATGCTGCGGGTCAGTCGCCGTGTCTTCAAACAAAATAAAACGATTAATGGAGTCTGTTGAAAGTTTTGAAATAAATGTACTTAGTTTTTAATCTTTTCGCCTCTTAAAGCTGGGTGTTTTCTGTTGCTGTTTTATCCTATATTTAACGATATGTTAATGGGCTCATGACATTATTTCACAATGATGAACATGATCAACTTTCAACATCTGCAGAGCATCAAATTGTACAAACATTCAGAGAGCGTTTGAGTTTAAAGGGCGAGACTAGAAACCTCGTAATGTTTGGGAAATGCTTCTAAAATCACAGGCCTGAATGAATTAACAAGTAGAACATTTTTATGATTGTCATATTTGTAAAACTTTAAAATTTTCTTGGTCTGTTAATTAATTTTAAATGTCTTTTTTTAACTGTTTGTGATCAGGCTACAGCAGAGGCCAATAATCTGACTGCCGTGGCTGGAGCCAAAGACTTGTACGGCAAGAGCATGGAGAAGGTGCGTACATTATGATTAAAAAAAAAAAAAAAACTCGCCAAAGCCAAAAATCATCCAATAATATGAGGAAAAGAGCACAGAGCATTTATTATCAGACTGTTTAACGCTAAACCAGCTGTTCACTCATTCAGGTGTAGCTGCAGAAGTGACAAAGCCTCGAGGCTTGTAGTCAAACTGAGAAAAGTCATTAGAGTTCTCATAGGATGTTTTGATAATAATAAGCTTTCAAGTGTTTTTCTCTTAAAAGCGGACATGCCACTGTGTTGAGGAATTTAACTCCACGCATAAAGCAGTAAAATTGTTTTTGCTTAAACTGGGAACATGTGTGACATCGTCCTTGTTTAATTTATTTTTATATAATCACATATTTTACCTAGAAACATCCAAAATGGGACTACATCTATTTATGAAGTAACTTATGGGATTTAAGGAAACGTAATGGCATAAAGCCTGAAGACAAAATGCTTGGTTCTATTTTGTCCATGTGACTGTGAACCTCTGGTCAAGTGGATGCTGCAGCTCCCCCTAGTGGCTGCTGACTGACAATTTGAAAAATTAA